CACCCACCCACCCCTCTCTCTCTCATATATTTTATCATTGACTTAGCACGTGCACTATAATTGGAATCTATCTTGTCGGGATGAGACCAGTTAAAAAACCAGTGATCTGTACCAATAGCACTCGAATTTAAACCTAAAATTGCAGGGTGTAATGTAAATGAAAAGTATAGTTATTGTAATTTGGGTTGCAAAACAAATTTCTCTATAAATTTATGCTACGCCATCTTCTTCTTGACTTCACCTTTATGATTTCTTCTCATCACATTTTTTGTTTTGTGATTTTTCTTCTTCTGCCTTTTATCTTTCTTCTATTCTGTTGATACCCTCTCACCATTGCTAAGCTAGGCACGTCGGTATGTAAAAATTCGAAATGGGATAGAAATATAGCAAGTGTTCCAGTAAAATGGAAGTAAATAGGACGACGAAATATGGAGGAGACAGGATAATATAGAGTAAATTATGGAACTTTCCTTGAGAGGTTTATGACAAATATATAGAGGCATTCGTTTTAGAAAATTATAGAAACCTCTCTTATTAGTTTATATTTTTCATTTTACCTTTCTTTTTCCTTATGCTAAATATAAAACTACAGTTTATTTTGTTATTTCTCTTTTTGTAATGTAGATTTTGTTTGATGGTTATTATGAAGAGAAATTGAGAGAAAAATAATGTTTTAAATAGTGATTTTTGGAGTGTGTGGTTAAAAAGTAGATTTTTTTTGGAGTGAATTTTATGAAAAATGATTCTCGTTAAAGAAAAAGAACAATTTGATGTAAGATGTTTATTACAGAAGGTTAACCAGGCAAACTAGTTTTGAGACGGTTGTCAGAAGATCTTCTACTAAAAGGAATAAAAGCTTTAAACACTGGGTTTGTTATAACATGCGTTCCCAACCTTACCAATTTGTTCTTCCCTATTAAATTTTGTCCTTAAAACTTGAGTTCTATATTTGTCAAAAAAATGTATTTTTAAATAGTGTATTGCTGAAAATATATGGTTAAAAAATTTAAGAAAAGTCATGAATTTGCGTTTAATATTATTTTATTGAAGAATGTGTTGTTGAAATAGGTTCAAATCACTGTTGAAGAATTTAGTTGATGGAAACAATGGTACTCAAACAAGGGCTTTAAGAGAACTAAGGGCTTGTTGGATTGGTTTGAATTCTGTGGAAAATGGAATTTGAATTCTACCTTTTTCTAATTTTGTGTGTTGGACATGTTTTATTTTTCGTGGAATTCTATTTTCTTTTCTTGGTTGTATTGGGAATGGGTAATTTTTTGGTTTTCTCGGTTACTGTAGAATTTATTTTTTATTTTTTATTATTTTTTTAAGCAATTGAAACAAATTTTATCTCTAATTGTAAAAAAAAATATTTTCCCTTTAATTGACGATTTTTATGTAAAATAAAGCCAAACGAAAACAAAAAAACACTTTTATTTCAATGAATTTCACGTGAAAAATTATATGAATCAAACACAAAAATTTATAATTCTTAGGAAAATAATTTCTAGACAATTTAATTTTTTGAAATTCATTTTCTTTTAACCCAAATTTTATCTTCGCAATCAAATGGATCCTAACATCTCTGTTAGAATTTTATGAAACTTTAAATTTCAATACCATGAATGCTAATTACTATATTGTTAAGTTCTTTTATGTCAAATCACCAAAAGAATTATAAAGTGCGTAACATATTTTAATTCATTGGGAATGTTTCTTTGATACTAGATTTTGATTTTGGATCTTGAATCTTAAAACTTGAACTTCAATCTTTTCATCATTGGCTTCTTCATTTTTAATCTTGAATTTTTTTCTTCTTTGATTTTTAATTCTTGTTATCTTGCTTCTTGATCCATATTCTTGTTTCTTGATTGTGGGTTTTCGATCTTACTTTTCAATATGTTTTCTTTTGTATTCTTGTGCTGATGGGATTGACACAAAAGAAATGAAAAGTTGCATATGAATTGTGGACTATACCCTCATATGTAGTTTTCATATGTATTTCGCCCACCATAAAATACAATTATAAAGAAATATGGTCTCTACACATATAATCTGACCCACACTTTATTTAGATATTCTAAATCCAACAATTTAATTCTTTATTAGATCAGGATTTAACCTTAAAATAACATTGTACACAATTAATTACATATGTAGATCCACATGACAAATTAATAATTTCCCAATAATCTCCTACTTGAATCTCATACGTTGCCTTATAAATGTGTCTAACTTTATGATGTAAAAAATTTTGCTATCATAACCAGAAGTATCTTCGAACAATCTCGTCCATCAATTACGTTGATATATAATTACAGTGGTATTCGTTACAAATATCATAAATAAACTCTTAGTGGTCATGTATGTCAACACAATTAAATGATATAGATCAAGTGTGGATGTGTAGCATGAAAATTATATTCATTGTGATCTAAACATGCCTATTTTGAACTGGTTCTACCTTATTCTTTAATGAGATCAACCATAAATTTTAAGTGGAATTGAATTGAATATTTTATATCTGAAATAAATCGAATATTAATGAATAGAATTATGTGTCAAAAACAGACAACATTCGAATACAAACTTCCGCTAACTAGCATATCATCAAAAGATGCAACATTCATATGAGCATTATGCTCATGAAAGACCTTGGCTGATAGCCGCTTAGTAAGCAGATCCGTAATTATAAAGTTTATCCTAATTATTCCATAAAAATCTAAACACTTTAAATTATTTCCTTAATAACTAGTAATTTGAGAATAGAAGACTGCTATTGTCACAGAATAATTAAAATGGTCTTTTAAATCCATCCAAAATGTACAGCCTAGCGACAAAATTTCAAAGTCATATTCCATTATTAGAACTAGAATATAGAATGATCTCCAATTGGTTTGATTTTCTTTATTATGATCATCTGATCGTTAGTTACTTATAAATACTGAATACCCTAATTGCTTACTTTCCGAATGTCCATCCCAAAGTTATTTAAATATATGTCCAGCATTCCAACAATGAATTAATATTCGGATGTGTGCAAACCTAAGCATACATTAAACTCTCAACTGTTGAAAAAAATATCTTTAGAGTATTGATTAACACTAAACTTGTCTTCCTCAGTGATAGGGATATCACCTGATTTACATACCCGTATCCCAAATCTCTTAAAAAAAAACTTATAGATATAGTTCTTTTGTGATAATCCAAAAATATCTTGAGAATGATCCCAATGTATTTGTATCATAGACACGAAAGAGGCGTCACTAAGATATTTCATTTCCAGATTTAATGACGAAAATCTCTTGATTTCATGTAATAAGCTTATATCATTGTAGGCAAATAGTATGTTATCAAAATACAATACTTGAAAAAGTATACTTATTCCCACTCAACTTGTGTATACACAATCATCAATTGTATTTATTTCAAAATCATACGAGATAATTATTTGATGAAATTTGTGATACCATTGACGGGTAGAGAGTCATGGCTCGAGCCGAGTCGGCTCAGCCCGTAAACTCACGAGCTCGGCTCTTGCTTGTGGTGAGCCAAGCTCCTGGCTCGTTTGCCAAGCTCAATCTCGGCTCGTTCATTTTGGGTGAACTCGGCTCGGCCCACGAGCTGGTGGACCCTTTGGCTCGCGAGCTCATCAATTTTTTATTTAATACAGAAACACAAAAATAATTTAATGAAGACATTTAAAAAAAATAAATAAAAAGTGTAAAAAAATACAAGTAATTTAATGCATTTTTAAAAAAAAAATTTAATGAAGATACTTTTTTTTTTTTTTTAAATTTTCATCATATTGTAATATTTTCTATAACGTATAAAATAATAAAATATTTATGTAATCAAGACGAATTGTTTTTAAAATGCATTTAAATAAATACATTTTTTCGATTTTTTTAAAGTAGATAAAATGTAAACTATCATCTTTTATCCGGGCTTGGGACTACATCAATTTTAAGTAGGTGGAGTTAAAAATTGTACATGAACAACTTGTTGGAACGTGTACAATTTTTTAAAGAAAATTAAATTTAACAATTAAAAAATAAGAAATTTTGATTAATATAATTAAATCAAATATCACTTACCTGACGACATCCAATTTTAGCGTATTTATCTTGTAGTCGAAAATGAACGTCCTGTCAATCCTTTATGCACATTAATGCTTCCAAAACATCTTCTTTCAGCCAGCTCTTGAAATCGGTCAAAACCCTTTTACCTGTATTAAAAGCAGACTCTTTCGCAATAATTGTCCAACGTCTTTCATACTTTTGTCAGAATTTAATTACTTTTTTTGAGTTTTTTTAATTGTTTTGTTTGTTGACATATTATTATTGAAATAATCAATTAATTTGACAGACATCGCATTTTGAGTTGCGGCCGATGATTGATGAGATGTAAGTGTAGACGACATGGCACTAGATGAATACATTGCAGTTACATCATATCTAAATGTAATACTTTGAAATAAATTCATTATTTCGGCATCATCTTCTTCAATTTCAGTCGAAGGAGTAGGTGCAGAGCGTACCGGACTAACATTCACATCCATTCGTTCTGCATATAAATCATATATTCTACATAATATTTGCTCCAAATTCTTATAGGTGATAGGTATATCAAGTATTAAAGTTTTATTGATTTGATCAAT